CATATATTCTTCTTAGTGGTTAATTGCTGTACAAGATGCAGACTTGTGATCCTACTTACAAACACCATTAGAAAAAATCATTCTATTCATTAAGAGAATAACAAGTTTGGTTTTTTCTGGGGGTTTTTTTCTGATTTTTTTTTGGTTGATCTATCTCTTTGTGACACTGCCATGCTGATATCCCCCATTATAGTTGGGTTATTGTTCATTTGATTTATTATATCTGTTAAAATTTCTCTTATGTACTAGGGTGCTCCTACATTGGGTGTATATTGATTTATGACTGCTGTCTCTTCTTCTTCAAGCTTTCCCCTAACCACTATGTTCTGACCTTCTTTATCTTGTTTCAACTTTCTTGGTTTGAAGTTCACATTGTTAGCAACCACAATAGCTATCCTTGCTTTTTTCTGGGTTCCTGTCACATATTGTATTATTTTCCATCACTTGACAACCAGTCCATGAATTTTCTTTTGAGTTGAATGTGTGTCTTCTACATAGCATATTGTTTTATTTTGGTTCTTGATCGTCTCTGAGAGTCTGCTTCTTTTGATTGGGAATTGAGCTCATTTATATTGATGGCTATAAATGATATGTTATTGGCTCCTGTTTGTCTTGTTTTTCTGCTGTAGGTTCCATTCTATCCCCACTGTTTAATTGCTTACTGTGCTTGGTAGTTCCTTTCTGTTGTAGCTCTTGAAGTTGCACCATTTCTGTCTCTTTTGTATATCAGTCAGTACTCTTTTTACAGTTGCTTTGGTGGTTGTGAATTTCTTCAGTTATTCTGTGTCATGGAAGTATCTTTTCTCACCACTAAGTTTGATACATAGTTTTGAATGGTGCACGAATGTCAGTTTGAAGTTTTTTTTTCTTTCAGGACCTGAAAGACTTCGCTCTAAGCTGTTCTTGACTGCATGGTTTGTGTTGAGAAATCAACCATGATTCTAATGGGCTTTCTATTGCAAGTGGTCTAGTTCTTTTCTCTAAAAGCTTTTTTAAATTTTTTAAACTAATTAATTAATTGGTATAGGGTCTTGCTATGTAGATTTGACTCATAATTATCCTCTTGTCTCAGCCTTCCCAGGGCTGGGATAACAGGAGTGCACTACCATGCCCTTTCCCATGGCCAGCATGACATCAGGGTTCTGGGGCCAGCATGGCAAGCCCTACCAGGGATTTAACCCAGTCCCTTGCACTTACCAGTCAGGTGCTTAGATGACTGAACTGTCACCACACCCCTCTAACAGTTTTTAGTATTCTGTTCTTTTGCTTAATTTCTGGGATCAAATTGAAGATTTTTTTTCTGAATATGGCCACCTGAAGTTATATATATTTCACCTAACTGTGTGTTAGATTCTTTTTTCTTTTTTTTCTTTTTTTTTTTTTTTGTATTTTAGTACAGAGTCTACAGGGTCTCAGTGTGTGTTAGATTCTTTACCACAGCTTGGGAAATGTTCTGCAAATAGTCTTATGTCATATGTGTTTATGCCTGCTCTTTTGTTGACACCTATCAGTCTCATATTGATTTTCTTTGCATAATTTTGCAGTTCCAGAATTGTTATTCCCTTTTTCTCATTATTCTTGACTTTCACTATCACTAGCTGTGAGGCTGACTTCAATATTTGAAAATCTATCTTCAGTTTGCTCAAGTGATTTTGCCAGCTTTCAATGTATTTCTTAATTTCCTAGTGCAGTGTATAGCTAGCCTGTGTTCAACTTGTTACACACAGCTGAATTAACTATTGTGGTTCTGAGTGTGGGAGGTTCACCAGAGGATTGCTGCCAGCATCAAAAGAGGAAAGCTAGAGACAGTTTCACAACCAATTAGTAGGGCAGTTTCAATGGTTAATACATTGCATATTGTTGTCTTTGTAATGGTTATCTTGTTCCAATTATTCTGCATATATTCTGGCATATTTTTAAATCTGACTATACTACTTGCTTTTTCTTATACTCTGCTTTTACTTTTCAATCATCTTTATCCATTTTTATATGGTAACTTCTTTGTACATCATTATATTTCAGAATTCCTTAATGTATTTCAGTATGTGTTTTTTTCATTGAGAATTAGTGTGCCTTACATGTCTTAATTGAGCTTTGCTTTTGTAACGGGTTTTGTATTTCCTGTCTTGCTTTTGTCTGTCAGTATCTCTAAAGCCCTTGTTTTGGCAGTTTCCTCTCCTGTTGCCTTCAGGTTCCTAGGGTTTGCTCATTACAGGTGATAACAAAAAATCTTGAATTTACAATGTCACTGAATTGAATTTATGTGTTAAATGAAGGAGTATTTGTGTTCAAGAGTAACTTTTAGTATCATTGGTGGATTAAATATTTCTATTTTCTTTAAGCATCTTTTTCTAATGTGAGATATAGCTCTCTATTCATAACGTATATACATATAAATATATGCAATACATTTTCTAATACTTATTTCTTCTATCTGTACAATTTGTAGATCATGCAAAAATAATTTTATTTACAATATTTTCTGTACCAAATATTTTATAATGAAACAGATATTTGTTGTATCAAATGATCAAATTTTGGGTAGGACTATATTTGTGGCTGTAGTTTCACTTGTTTTTTTAATCCATGTGATCTGGTGCTCATACCTTTGTCTTCTTTATTACCCTTTGTAGTTTTATTGTTTTCTTTGCAAATATGACACTTTATTTCAAAGATGACTAGAGGTTTATTTCATTCACTTATACTTTCAGTGAAAAATTCAAGGTCTCTACTTCAAATATTATATGTTTACCATTTTTGAGGCTTCAACTATGAACATATGGAAAAGCATTTGAACAGTTTCCAACTGTCCTGAATTTTAATTAGTATATGGTCCAACTAATTTTGTTTGGAATTAAATTTATAATTTGTTACTATTGGAAATGTTTAGAAATTTTATTAAAGGTATATTTATTATCAGGGAAAAACTTACTTTTCATGTGTGCTCATTTTTACAACTATTTTGAACATATATAATATATTTGCATCCATTATAAATGAATTGGCAAGTTATTTCCTTGTAGTGCCATTGTTGTTGGAATTTTAATGTTACGTGTACGATAAAATACTACTTAAAGAACAGCAAGTGGCTTGCTGGCAGTTGCATTTCCAAAGTTTCATGTCATATTTACTAATCTACATATTATCTGCTCCTCTAAATTTTTTTAAAAAGCAGGATTAAAGCAAGACTCTCTGGGAAAGATCCACACACTCCATTATAATCACATCCTTACTGGGAATGCTGCTGGTCCCAGCAGGTACTGTCATTCTACTTGAATGCTACAGAGATGGGTGACCTTGTTCAAAGTCACACACAGACTCAGACCTGACGTGGACACAATAGACAGTAGACAGCTGTCCAGTAAAAGGGGTGCTATTTTGGCAAGGATTCAGAGAACTCTTCTTCCAGAAAACATTGTTCACAGTTCCTAAAACTACACAGGAAGAAATATAGCATGAAATAATAAATCACAGCTAAATGCTACAGATACAAATAAAATTTGCAAAATAGGAAATGAATACACTTATAGATGTCTAACAATAGTAAAAGACAAGAAAGCAAGGATCCGTGGTAACACGTATTCATTGATGGATAGAGAATCGCACCACAGCAAGTTAAAATGTTCTTCTTATAATTAATATGTCATTTCCATCCTAGACTTCCTAAATTCAGAGAAACTGTGATAGCATATATGCACAAAATTCTAGAATTCTGAAGGCCAAGGGCTGGAGAAGTTCTGCAAAAGTGGCTTCCAGAGTGCAACAAAAGCCGGGGAGAAGCAAAGAAAAGCGAAATGAGCTTTGCAAAAATACTATGGTAAGAATATTAAAAGCATGATACATTCTAAAGAGGAAAATGCAACAAATTCCTTAGGACATTCAGAATTATTGATCTAGAGATCAAATTGTGTGTCAAATGTAAAACATAATTGAGACATCAAAGAGGACAACAAGAAAAGAGATAATGTCTAAATTTGGCATAATAATGCAGATAGGAGGTTTAATGAAATACATAATTGAGAATAAGAGACCTAGTCCTAGCCCAGGCCCGGTGAGTGTGTGGAAGAGCTTCCCGCTATCCTGCATTGGAGTGACCTATTACTGGTCCCAACACAGGTGCACCTTGGGTGAGACCCTCTTCCACCCACTTCAGATGCCCACCACCACTCCGCAGCACCTGCCCCACATCATACACCGAGTAGGAATTTCTGCTGCGTTCCGAGATCTCCCAGACCCAGTCCTAGCCCAAGCCTGATTGGCACCTTAACTTCACGACCTGCTAAGGTTATAACTACAACGAAGATATACAACAAAGGTCAGAAAACAGTGCTACACAAAATGATAAGAAGGAACAAAATGCAACCTCAGAACCCAACCCCACCCATAACAAGGGCAGAGGACATTAACACAGAACAAGTTGAAAATCCAACAGCTGAAAACAATGAATCAACAGCTTCTGAAATAAAAAACAGCTGCAGAAAGACATAGAGGACCTCAGATTGGAAATAAAAAAAGAAATCCCTCAAATAATAACATATGCAGTAAAGAATCAAATGCAGAAACATATGGAGGAAATCCAGTGCCCACCCAGAACAAGTGCGGAGGACACTAGCTCGGCTCAAATGCATGAATTAAGAGAGTCGATAGTAAACAAGCAACAGCAGAAAGATATAGAGGAAATCAGAGAGCAATTCTTTTCTGAAATAAAAAAAGAACTCTCAGAACTCGTAGCACATGAAGTAAAGAAGCAACTACAGAAATATAGGGAGGAAACCCAATCTGAAAAAAAAACACTGCAGTAAAAGAATTTACAACTGCTTGCAAAGAAGACATCAATAAAAAAAAAATAGAGGACATTACAAAACTGACGGATTCCTTGAATGACCAATTCAGGAAAGAAATAGATCGCCATGAAGCAGAGTCAAAGAGATATAGAAGAAATGAAACTCTAAATGACAAGCTTGCAAAACTGTTTAAGTGAATGTGAAGACAGAGTTTCAGATCCTGAAGATGCTGGTGTAGTTACTGAAAAGGTAAGAAACAATCTCTTAAAAACAACGAGGATGCAGGAAAGAATAATCCATCACCTGCAAAGATGAACAATATGAGAATAATAGGCATCAATGAGAAAGAAGGAGTCAACATAAGTGACATTAAAAAAATATGGGCAGAAGTAATAGCAGAAAACTTCCCAAACATGAGGAAACAATCTGACATTCAAGTAACTGCAGCATACAGAATGCCAAGGAACCTCAACCCAATGAAAAGCACACCAAGACATATAATAGTCAAGATCCCAGAAATTCAGCACAAGAATAATCTACTGAAAGCCGCTAGAGAAAAGAAGCAGATCACATTCAAAGGAAAACCATCA